CCCACTCATTAATAGATAACAGGCTTGATCTGCAGCCTGTTAATATCCATACAAATAAATGGATATGAGTATCCATTTATTTGAAAAGTGAGAAGGAGTGAAATTGGGCAGGAAGAACAGTGGCAGCACAGTTCATGAATCCCATGGAAGTACCTTTCTCATTGTGCATTGAAAACAAGTTTGGAATGCAGGAAGAAAATTATAATTTCGATGTCAAATTATTGCATTGCAGGGATGTTTGTCCTTGCTAAGATCTCTCATGCCATCTCTACCACAATGCTTTTTCCACTGAAGCACTCACATATAGGAGAAACACCCTAGAAATAAAGCCAAAATTTTCCTCTTTCTTCACAACCTCAAGGGGTCGAGCTCACAGTGCTGACACAGCACAGCAGCCCGAGCCCTGTGCACCTCCACGGAGCTGTCACAGGTATTTACTTTTGCTAAGTGCAGCTCATTATTATTGCCTCCCCTGGAGTTGTAGTGCAATGGAAACTCATTCCCCACGGCCTTGCCCAATAACTTTCAGAACAATTTATTTTGCAGTTTTCTTTACTCTGTGTCCAGTTTCCTCCACTCAATCAATTGCGGGTGTCACACAGTGAAGTGTCCTGCCTGCTCCAGAGAGAAAAGCTGGACTTTACTGGGTGGATGTTTGCTTTGTATTGTATACACAGAATAAAAATTAATTCAGGAGCAACTAGGGAAAAAAAAAAAAAGCCCACTGAGATTAGGAGCACAGAGATATAATGGTCTGAAAACTAAAGCCTTGCTGACTCCAGGAAAGTAAGCAACATCTAAGGCAGCTCGTTTCCTCATCATAACTCAATGCAAATAAAGAGAAGAAAGTGGATGGAAATGGAGTAAATTATTTCACTGCCTAGAGCGACAGATGAGCAAAACCAACTGGGCTGGCTTCTCCAGGCTTTCAACACTTCTGTATGCCTTGAAAGACACCATATTCAGCCACCTGCTATTGAACTTCATGGTGGCAGGGCATCCAAAGGTTACAGCAGCCAGGCATCCCAGTATGGTTTCCCAGCTTGATATCCTCAGTAGGATTTTGTAGTGATAAAGTAGCACAGGGGTGATGTCCAAGAGGCTCTTCAGCCATTCACTGCCCCTGGGAAAATGAGGAAGATTTATCCTTTGGGCACAGAAGAAAAATGCAGTTTGTGTTGCTTGTAAAGGATTGGATTTGGGCTGTTGCTCCTTCCAGAGGCTCCTGCCCACTGCCCAGTGCCTGTGCACACCCAGGACAAGCCCCATTTCTCTAAGTCATAGCATTTCTCTAATGCAAACACAAAGTGAAAGGATGCTGGAAAGCCACTGGCCTTTATGGTTTATTAAGCTCCTTGTGCAGGCATAATTTCAGACTTGGTTTTTTTTTAGACCAAACCATATCACTCACAAAACCCACCAAGACACTACCTCTCCTGCAAGGGGATGGGAGAAACACAGGGGAAATCCCACTTTTGTTACTGAAAGATTCTATTCTTTAAAAAAAATAAATAACAGTCACATTTCTAAACAGCTCTTTATTAAACAGTCCAAACATATCATCTGCACTGGAGGATGCAAGGGCTGACACCAGACAAAACCATCAGATTGCTCTGAGAAAATGCACTGGCTTGTCTTGACAATTTAGGACTCTGTGGATTACCCTGTTCATATTTGCTGTTGATTTTAAGACTGAAATTTGCAGTATGAAAACAGACATGTCCAAGAAAGCATTGCTCAGCTTAAACTTAAAAGGACAGAGATACAAGATTACAGCAGAGAGATGCAGCTCCTGGCTCCCAGCCCTTTCTTAGGAACCAGCTTTCACTTTGCCTTGGGCTTTTGGTCTATCAGCATCTAATGAAAGATGACAGTGCAGGCTCCCTTAGGGGCTAACGTGGGCAATTTCAGCTCTGGCATTTTAATTTATCTGTAACCAGCAGTTTTCAAAAGGGTAGAGCTAAAAAAGAACTTGGCTTGGTCACACTCACACACAGACAAAAAAAAAGGAGGGGGGAGTTGTGACATAAAATGCATGAGGAGGTTTGTTTGGGTTTAACTCCTTGGGCTCCTGCAAGGCAGGCACTGGAGCCTGGAGCTGTGTCCCTTGGCTCTGTGGCTGCTTGCTGTTAACCCTTTCCACCTGGAAGCTGCTTTTCCTCTGGGTGAAGAGAGCTCCTCCATGCTTTATGGCTGTTGGTTTTAGTGCCAGCCACATCTACAATATTCCCGACAGTTAAGGTCTCGACTTTTCCCGTTTATTAATCCCCAAAGTTGCATTCAGGCACTGCAATGGCAAAAAGGTTAGCTTAGGATCAGTAGCAGCCATAAATCCAGAATTAAAGGCTGTGGGTTGGTGTCCAAGGGAGCCCGTGGTGTCTGGGTGCTGCCCAGGGCTCAGAGCCTGCCGTGGGCACCCACACTCACACAGCCACTGGTGTGTGCAGCCAGGGATGGTGGAGCAGCTCAGCCTCAGCTTCCCAGGGCGTTTTTCCTGCTGTATTCCCAGCGATCCCACGTGCCTGGCTGGGCAGAGCTGAGTTACCGTGGCAAGCTCGGTGCTGACGCGGTGCTGAGCACGCCTGGCACCGCTTCACATCCGACCCTCATCAGGAGCTTTCGACTCCACCATGTATTTGTTCCCTGGCATGTTCCACACGCCCTCCAGGCACCTGGAGAACCCCCGGGCAGCCGCTACCATCAGCGAGCTCCTGAAGGATGGATCCAACCCAGCCCCTGCCTGACCTGTGCTGGGGCTGCAAAAAAACTTCATTCGGGATCAAACGGGTTAAATTTTTATTTATTTAAATATTTACTTCTTTCCAGGGAAGAATTTTCTTTGCCCTTTATTTATTTTTTTTTTCCTCCCTGCTGCCTCCAGAGGACCAGGCGATTCCAGGCACAGCTCTAGCAGATGGTTTTGGTGGTGGGAAGCACAAGGGGATTGCTCCCGAGAGCTGCTCAGGCAGTTAAGTCAAAAAGGAACTGATGCATGCAGCATGCCATGCCCCAGCCTGGACAGCTCCCAGTGCTCCCCTCTGGACAGGAGCCTGTGCTGGCCTCCTTTAGACACACATCTTTCTCTGTTCCTGCTCCAAAATCTGCTGGGATTGGGGAGCAGCTCTTCCCTGAGCTCCCTGGGCCAGCTGCAGTCAGAGCAGGCAGCGTGGGAAGCCCGGATCAGCCACCCCATTGTGATCCTGCCCGCTGCAGCATCACCCTGATGTCCCAGCACACGCTGGGCCACACAAACCTGATCATGCCAGAGATGACTTCTTTTTACTGGTTACTTATTCCAATGTAAAACCTTCACCTTACGCCCACAGCAAATATTGCCGAAGTTGTGGAGTCAGGAAAGCAAATCCATATTTTGTCAATATTAGCCTGATAAATAAAATTTGAGAATTAAAAGCATTCTGTGCTTAGCAAATGAAAATTAGTTTCTGATACGTGAGAATTGGCTTTCTTAACAATATTTCCCTTGGTTTTGTGAGATAATCTAGAGCTAAAAAAGGAAATACAAACATTTTTCAGAAGAATTATACATAATTTATGGAGAGGCAGGTCTGAATTAGCTCCAGCATTGCCCTGAGCTTTCCTACAGTCCATAGGTCTGGATCTCAGCTGTGCTCATGGATCTGCTCCGTTCCTTTGATGAAACCTTCTCCCAGAAACAGTTAAACACAAGAAACAAGAAATGATCCATAAATTAGGTCTGGCTATAGGTTCAAAATCATAAGTTATGGCCTATTGACCTCATACTCTGAGGGGAAATCAGAAGCATTTTTCTAAAGAGCCACCACTGGAGGAAGGGAGGTTTAATATATGGCACAGCAGACCCCAGCTGCAAATAAATACAGCACTGCATAATTGCAGGGAAAATCAATAAATACCATGATGGTTAAAATAAAGATATGCATATTGAGGGTCCAGGTTTATGTGTGTGAATGTTTCCCCAGAAGCAGATTTTTTTTTTTTTCCTGCATTAAAGCCTCTAAAAACAACAGAGCAACAGCTCCTGTGCTGCCCCTTTTGCAAGGAGCAAGTTTCAGCTATTGTTTCCCTCGGAGCAGCTCTGTGGAATCATCATTATTACCATAATTAATAAGTGCAGTTTGCTCATTTGAAAAATTCCGGCGACATTCGCCGCTCAGGCATCGCGTCAGCGCGAGACACAAAAACTCGCTGTGACAACTGTTCTGCAAGTTCAGGTTCTATTGACAAGCACCACAAAGAGATGAAGCCCAGAGCAAGTCCCTTTTCACTTTAATATTTAAACCTCCTTTAAGAGGACGTCAATATTAACTCCTGTAATTGATGCTGACAGGTGACTGCCTGGCCATAAAAAAAGCAAGAAACGGAATTCGAGAAAACCTTAATAATAAAAACCAGGACTTGCAGGTCAGCCAGTGAAGGACACTGGGATGAAGGGATGAGTCTCCTGCACCCCTGGTGCATCAAAGGGGACCTGGGGATTCACCCAGGAATGGATGGGACCCTTTGGGCTCGGCTGATTTTGCTGCCCCAGGTAAATCCCTGGATGAGAAACCCATCCTTGCTCAGCCTCCAGACCAGCCAGTGCTTTTAATAAATAAATACCAATTGTAACTAGTTAACCTCAGGATTTCCAGCATTAAAGAGATTTCCCAGAAATCACCAGAGGAAATGAGATTTTCCCAGAAAGCACCAGAGGAATGGATAAATGCAAAGTTCATGGGGAAGAGGACACAGCCCTTTGCAAATGCAGTGTGAGGGGAAAATACCCAGAAAGTGCTGTGAGATAGGCTCCAAAAATAGTTATATACTGGACATAGCTTCCTGATTTTCACTGATCACATTCTTAGAAATAGTGCATTTTTTTTCTGTTTAAAATTTAGATTAAAAGTAATTAGAATTTGGAACAATGTGAAACCAAGTTTTAATATAAAGTGTTGATGACCTGAGTATTGTTATTGTCTTTGCTCCATGTACAATCCAACCAGAAGGAATGACACAGTAAATCAGTCTCTTCATTTATTCAAATGGAGATATAATTTTGCTGGCTTTGAGTTCTACTAATATGCAGATCATAGCATAAGCCCAAAACTAGAGTGATAATGTTTTTATTAAAGCTGATAAAAGTATTTTAAATGTTGACTTTTTCTTAACTTTTTGAAATTGAAGGCAGGGAAAGCACTAAAATATCTTGTATACATTAAAAAAATGTTCACTCCAGGGAAAAATATTTTATTAATAGAAAATTGGGACATCTAAAATGAGAGGTTTAATTTAAACAATTACTGATTACAATATTGGCTGCATAGACAGAAACTTTCTGAATAAACCCAAGGCACTCCAGTTAAGATGTTTCAGGTACTTCCATCCTCACATTCATCCTTAAGCTAAAACCAGCAAAATTCCTTCCCAGCACCCCTCTCCCAGCAAACATCTCCTGCTCCACAGGTATTTAACCAGGATGTCCCAGCCAGCCCTTTTCTTTGTACCCTTCATGTTTTTTCTCTGTGCTTTGGGGTTCTCCAGGCAGCGTTTCCTGCTTGCAGAGGAAGATGCACGGCAGAAGATTTGGGATTAAAGAGACAATAAAATGTCCCAACTACTGCCGTGTGGCAGAGAACAGGGCAGGGATTTAGTGCTAACAACAGAAAACAGGAGAGCTTTGTAGCAATTAAAGCTGAGCAAAACCCACCAAATACTGGAGAAAATATAGTGGGGAGAAATCATTGTGGTGTAAAAACAAAAATCAATGTTCTCATTGCTCCCTGAGAGAGTCTCACAGGGAGGGAAGAGCTGTGCCCAAGACTGGCTGGATGCAAAATAAAAGATTAGCAGTTAGATCCTTATCAAAACTGGGACTGAGAAGCTTTTGTTTAAACGGCCCACTTGAAGCAAAGCTCTCCTGGCTGATTGCTGTTGTTAGGATTTGAAATTGCTACTATTGCATATATAGTATTTAAAAGAGACATGACCACTGACATGAGCTAGCTGGCAGCAAATAAGTGTGATTTAAATAATCATATTAATTTCTACAAGTGATACCAAGTTAAAGCTGGATTTGTGTGCAGATATACGTGTGTGTGCACACGTGTTAGCAGGTTTCATACCAAGGAAAGAGGCTGCTGGTGAAAATCTGGTGAAAATGCCTCAGTTTCCTCTTAGAGGCTTTTTTTTTTCCATCCTGGCATCACAAATAAAATCGCCTCTGTATTGCACACTGTGCTCTGTACAGTAATGTCTTCGTTACCACTATGGCTCTTACTTAAGCATCTGACTACAGTAATTGTTTTATACATTAACTGTACTCCCTGATGGTTGCCCTATTATCTCTTTTTTTTTCCAAAATGATGATTGCAGATATTAGCAGCTTGATTACTCGTTTTATGAACAATTTCAACACTGTGTCAGGGTTGATTTGGGAAGTGGGGTGGTGGTGTCAGTGATGGTGGGGTTGAGTTTCTGTGGTGCTTTGGTGCTCCCCTCCGCTCCAAAGCCTCGAGGAGATTCAGAATCAATCCAAGCTGCACATTGGCAATCCATGGGATGGAGATCCTTGGGCTGCACAGAACCACTTGCATTCAGCTGCCCTCAGGGCCAATTCTGGGCAAAAGTGATTTGTGAAAAACAGGCGTGGAAATGATGGATTAGGAAAGGGAGAGGGATGCACCAAATCCCTTCGAGGCAGCGCCACAGCTGATGTAGGCACTCTGTGTGTGTCTGTGTACATGCAATAACAAGGGAGCTCGGGAAGGCACCACCAAATTTGAGAAGTCTGTGCACCAGTGCCTTTCAACATGAGCCATTTCCAGCAGGAAACAGAAGGGATCAGGCCCTGGAAGGGGCAGGTGAGGTTTCTGCAGCACAAAGCTCTCCCCTGCCTTTGCTCATGCGTCACTTTTTGTCATCAAAAGGAAAATCAGAGTCTGATGCCAGTTATTAAATATCTTCATTATAAGGGCATTCCTTACAGCTGACTTTCAATTTTGTTGTATCTGGGGGCCTTATGTTAATAACTGCGTGCTAAGGACAAGTGTTCTCAAAAAACACTGACTATTGAAATCCTTATAAATAATATGCAGCTTCCTGCTTCTGATTGATAGATATATTGTACAGCCGAGCCACCATAAAGGCAATAAATACATGTACTGTTAAGGGTCATGAGTCTCAAAATTAAATCGAATGCAGAAATTGAGTCTTGACAGAATCTGAAGGGATAATGTCTTAGCTTCTCCAATTACGCAGTTCAACATTTGGATAAATCATATGAAAGTAAGTATTTAGCCCCATTTTTCATAATCACTATTAATGAGAACAAAATGGGAGCTGAGGGCAGAGGGAGAGAGTTCTGACAAGATAAATAGCATATGGGGTGTGTTGTCAGCCACAGAAAATCAAGGCTGTTTAAACCCCCTAAACAGCAGGAAGGAAAAATGCAGGGGGGAAAAAAGTAGAAAGAATATTGGTCATGTGTTAGTATCAGCAACAGCCTCTATGTCAGGACTTTTGAGATCTGCCTTCTCAAACAGCACTTAGGGCACAGAAGCATCATCTAGAGCTCCTCAGGATGGTATGAATGACTGATATCCAGAGCACACCTTTTAAATATTGCCTGTTTGCACTCTGCAAGCAGCACGTAAAACACCTCTAAAAAAATTAATTAAAAGACTCACAGATTTTGCCCACTGACTGGTCCCTGTGGGTGCAGGACAGGGCCAGGATGGCCACACCTTCAGTGGCCATCTCTGTGTCAAGGCAGTAAAACCAGGAGAAAGAGCTTTGCTTGCACAGGGTTTTCTCCAGCTTTCATGCCAGGACACGCACAGGATGTGCAGGGCTTAAAGCAAGGAGAGGAAGGTATAAATTCCATAGTCATTTTCTATCATCTTGTCTGTCTTTCCTGCTTTTCAAGTTGAAATCACTTTAAGCATCTGCGGCAAAATTATTCTTAGAGAGTCTCTCATTAAATTAGATGTCTCTGAATTGAATTCATTTCCACTCCATTTTGTCAGCTGCTAGCGCAGCGAGAGCCAGATCCTGCTCAAATTGGCTTTGAGGTTTGGTCCCTCTTTTTTGGGGGGGAGAGATTGGGGTTTCACACTTGTGCTGAGTTTTTTCCCATTTTGGATTCCCAGGGAGCATCCATTGCTCTTGCTCAGATGCTGCCAGTGGCTGAACCCCAATGTTACAAACCCTAATGACTCGCTAGGAACCAAATTATATCCGAATATCCCTACAATACAAAGCAGGAGGCCACTTGTGTCACCAAATTAGAGCTACAATATCCCCACAAAAATCCCCAGCAGTCTGAGCCCCACATCCACATTCCGTGCTGCTCCAAAAATGAGCATTATGCTCTAAACCTCTGCTTTCAGCCATAAATATCCCAGCAATCCAGGGGCAAAGGGACTGTTTTGGTACCTTAGCAGCTCACAGATTAAGCACGTGGGGCCTGGGGGATTATCTCCTTGAATCAATATAAGGCAGGGAAGCAAACAAACAGCTGGTCGGGTTCCCCCAAAATAAAAGCGTTTGATTGTGGCAAGCTTCAAAGCAACTGGTTGACACTAAATAGGTTGGGTGCCCTCCCCCTGCTGTGCCCAAGGAGCAGAGGGTAGCAGGGAAATAAATAAACATCTAAAAATTACTGCTTACTCCTCCCCCCGCCATCTAACCACCTCCCAGAGAAAAGCAGGGAAGCAAGGAAAAGCTCCCCAGAACATATGGCAGAATCAAGCACAGGATCCCGGCAGGTTTGGGTTGTACAAGTAAATATTAATCTGGGGGGGATACGGGGGGCTGAGATCAAAAGAGCTGCTCCCGTTTCTATAGGGAAAAGGAGAGCTTTGATGTCACGGCGCCTTCCCTGCGCCACCTAATGAACTGAAATTGTGACACAGTGACATCCTGCAAGGTTTGAAAGCACTCGGCACAATGACACGTCTTTGGGGCTTGCTGCTCTCTTTTTCCAGCAGCATCCTGAGCCAGGGGGAAGGGTTCTGCTGGTGAGGGTGGAATAGAGGTGGAGGAGACAGAGGGGGCTCTGGGGAGTGCTTCTCCCTTGGCTGCAGATGGGGAGAGCCCAAGGGACTCGCTCCAGGTCATGCCTGACCAGAAGGGTGGGGTAGGGATGCAAACAGAGGGAAGCAGCTCGGCAGGGTGTGCACAAGGCAGGACCAGACCCATCCTCACCTCACACTTTGTGCCCTCCACACCCAGCTGGAGCCACAGCCTCCTCGGGGGATGATGGACATGGAAAGAGTTTCAGGAACATGCAGCCAGAGGAAGGATGAGCTCCTTGCCTGGGTCCTACAGAGGCAGAACCTGTTCTTGTTCACTTCAGGCCAAGAAAATACCAAGCAGGTAGAAAAACCAATCCCACACAGGCTTGGTCAAACAAAGGTCCTGAATATTTCATCCAGGCTCCCAGAGAAAACCACTAGAACAAAACCCTGTGCCACCATCCCAAGGAGGGAAGAGCAGAGAATAATCTTCATGGGATGGGCACAGCTGCCCAAACCCCCATTCTGGATGTCGTGTGCTCCTAGGGAAGAAACCAGGGAGAAAGAAAACAAAATAAATCCTGATAAACAGTGCAGCTAAACTCTCAGGGCAGGCAGAGAGGGAGGAAAGATGTGAAATTGGGAGGAAGAGATGGTTTTGCTAAGGATGACTTTGGGCGATTTTGGGTGGATCTACTCCATCAGGAGACGACTGCCCTGCCATTGCTTGTGGAGTATGGGGTGGTTTATTAGTTTATTCAGCATTTCTTTACCCAACCTGTGGTTCCTAGCAAGGACACGGGTCCCAGCAGACCCTGGGCAACACCACAAGTCAGGGCTGCACGCAGCATTCAGGCAGCACAGGGTTAAATCCTGTTAATCCCAGGATTTACTCCGGATTAACCCGGGGGAATCAAGAGCAGCATTTGGCCCCGTGTAAAAGGGTCAGGCCAGGATTTCAAGTGCAGAGGAAACCCAAGAGCATCACCCACTCAGGGAGTCACAGAGCTGGGTAAGAGAGTTGCTGAGGCAAGTTAGGAAATGTAATAGAGCAAGAGAGAGCTGCTGAACCAGGCAGGGAAATGAAACTTTATTCAATCATCTGCTTTACTTATTTCATAGTGAGGAAATCCATCTATTCCTTGGACTTGTTTATGCTGTGAAAGCTCTGTGTTGCCACGATGCAAAGGAATGGTTAGAGAGAATCAAAAGGGTGATGCTGAGCTGCAACCTGCCTTAAAATGCTGCACCCACATAGGGAGAATAAAACCAGGAACAAGGGAAAAGATCACTATAGCTTTTCTGCACCCCAAGTGTGGTGTGATCACTCTTCACCTAGACACTGGGATTAGGAAGGATTAATGGGAATGACAACTTGATGGGTTTTAGCAAAGAATCATGACACTATGACACCACCTTTCCGGAAAACACCATATTTGGGTGTGTGCACATGGAAATCCATGTACAGACACACCCACAGGCACAGCAGGGAAGCCTGTAAGGACTCTGGGTGTCATTGGAACAACATGAACACAGCACTGAGCTGTCCCAGAGAGGGGGACAGAAATGCACCTGTGTGGTTTCATCACCTCAGTGGCACTCAGAGGAGTTTGCATTAGGGCTCAGGCATCCCAAGACCCCCTGAATGAGGGGAGAAAGGCAGGATGGCTCCCAGCACATATCCACCCCTGTGGGAAATAGGTTCTGGAGCAAGGGAAAGGATCAATCATATGGAGCTTCTTTTATAGGAAAAACTGCACAGAACAGACTGGGGCTGGAAGCAGCTCCTATATTCTGTGTCTAGAAATAGTCAATAATCATTGTTATGATAATAATAGTAACAACAATGATAATAGAGTAGGGAAGGGCTCATCTTGAGCAAATTATTGCAGCTTTGGTGTAGCCTTGAGGTGGGTGGGTCCATGCAAGGTCAGGTCGCAGTGCTGTGGTGGCCAGGACGGCCCCAAGAGCCACCCATCACCCTCCTGCCCCACTGTGGGGGGAAAGCACCAAGATGGGAAATGAAAAATAACCTGTGTCTCATGGAGTGATGTTCTGGGTGTGAATTAGAGCCTCACCAGCCTCCAACAAGATGCCCCTTCCACAGCTCCAATCTAGGACAGGTTTCCCTTCAGAAATGCCATTCCCTAAATCCCACTCAGACTCAGCTAAACTGCATTTCAGGTTTTTTTCCCTCCCCAAATCAGCCCTATGCAGATTCCACCCTCTCCACTGGTTAACTCCTGCAGCACCAGCACACACTAAATAACTTTAAGGGCTTCAGGGGGTTTTTGGTTGTGGGAATCCTAAAATTTTGAGACATAACACAGAACCTTAGTGAGACTGTCTGGTAGTTTGATTTTTAAAAATGGCACAGAGGTCTGGGTGCCTTATCAACCATTTTCCTTATCTTTTTGATATCACATGACTTCTTTGCATTAGAGAAGTGCTGTTGGTGAGCATTAAGGGTGTTGCACCAGTCTGCATTAAGAATGTAGATGCTGACTGCAATTTCCCTTAGCTCACAGCTGTATTTCAGTAATAAAGTGTGAGTTAACCAAAATCCAATTTACCCAGGAGTATCTTTGAGTAACTCACAGTAATTTTATATTTGATTTGTGCTGACAGCAGATGTGGCCATTCCCTTAGCTGGGCAGAGAGACAGAGCAGGGGGACACTAATCTTTCTGTGAGCTTCCCATGATGGATACATCTGTGCCTAAATCAAGGCAGTGATGCTTGAACTAAAAGTTCAAAATCAGGGTGGAAGAGGAAGACTGAGAAGCAAGTTGCATAATCAGATCCTGCCAAGCCAGTGACTTGGGATGGTTTTAGAAATCTTGAACATGATTTAAGCATCCTGAATGAGAATCTTGTTCACAACCCCTATTTTGCTGCATGGGTAACACAGGAAGATGCATCAGCCAACCCCAAAAGATGATCCTTCCACTGCTGTGACCTGTGCAGAGACACAGGGCTGGCCCTGACGTGGGACAGAGCAGCCCCTGCCCTGGCGTGGCAGGAGTGGGATGTGGCTGCAAATGGAGCTGGCAGGAGCTGGCAGGGCAATTCCTGCGCAGGCAGCTGGGACAGGATGCTGGGTGCTGGGGAAGAGCACATCCCTGGCATTGAAACAGGGTGAGCTGCACCCTGCCCACATCATCCCATCCCATCCCATCCCATCCCATCCCATCCCATCCCATCCCATCCCATCCCATCCCATCCCATCCCATCCCATCCCATCCCACCCTTATCCTGTATCCGTCCCATCCCTATCCCTCACCCATCCCATTCCTATACCGCATCTATCCCATATCTACCCCACCCC